CCCCCGCCCCACCCAGCTCACGCCTCCCCTCTCTCCTTCAGCTGGAAAAACCACCGGAAAAGGAAGAGGACCATGCCCCGGAATTCATCAAAGTCAGGGAGAACCTACGGAGAATCACCACGCTGTCGAGTGAAGAGCGGGTGCTGTAGAGCTGGCTGGGGGGGGTCCGGCCCCCCGCAGCCCTCCCCCGGCCCCCACACCCTCCTCCAGCCCTTCTGTATCTGGCAGCCCTGAGCCCCAGGTTTGGGGACATCTGCTGCGTTCATGCTTGCTCCTGTAAACTGCGCTGTCCCAGAGGCCCTGCCTATCCCTCCCCCGCACCCCCAGGAGCTGGGGGTCCCGAAGCTCACAGGAGTTTCCTTCTGAGCACTCACCCCTCCTGCCCCAAGAGGAAGCCACCTGGGAAAACTTTCACAGGGCACCTCCCTGGCCCGACAGCCCTCCATTCTGCCCAGGCCCCATGGGACCCTGAGTCTCTGGGCAGCTCCACTCGCAGGTCTCAGAGAACTTCCCTGCCCGCGGTTTCACCTGCAGCCAGGAGTGAGGCAACTAGCGGAGCATCTCAGGACACCTGTCTTGAAAGCCAACCAAGGGGAGAAGGTTCAAGTGCAGTTGTCCCTGGTGAGGAAGGGCAGGGCAGCCCACAGGTGGCCTGGTGGCTCCCACCATGGCAGGTGGGAAGGGTGGTAACAAAGACAACTGCTTAGAGTTTGCCAGCCTCCCCCACCCCCCTTCTCCCCGGTCCCCTGGTTCAGGCTCGTAAGCACTCCCAGCCAGGGCTTCAGCCTTCCTGCTCCCAGGTCTGCAGCATGCTGCCCAGGCTCCATCCTGCCTTCGACTCACTGGGGTCTTGTTAAATTCCGGCTTCTGCGTCCGCAGCTCTGGGGTGGGGCTGAGAGTCTGCATTCCCATCAAGCTCTGGGGCCACACTGAGCAGCAAGGCCGGAGCGCCAGGGGTGCTAAATATTGGAAACGTCACCCCTGAAGCCAACCTGCCCCCGCAAGTCCCTCGGGCCTGTGCCCTGGGGTTCCCCCTTCCCCTGCAGCCTTCAGGGCTCTCTGTGTCCAGCCCAACCAGGGCCCCAGGCCCGAGCAGACTTAAAGCCTAGCCGGTCGTTCCAGATTTATGACAGATTCTCACCAGACATCTCACAGTCCAGGACCTCCAATCTGCATTTCCACCGCACTGTTGTGGTGCAATTCTAGCCAAAAAATACATTTTTTTTTTTTTTTACCTAAAACCCATGGAGAGCATGTACACAGTGGTTTCCAATAGGTTTCTGGAACTAGAAACAGTGATTGCCGACCCCACTGCCACCCTCGCGGCCTGGCCCCTGTGAGTCCCCATTTTCAGCCTCTGGACCTGAGACCCACCCTCCTTGGCTTCTGTGCCCCCTGCCCTCGCGGGGCAGCTCCAGGGACCTCACCCACGGCCTCCCCAAAGCCCTCCCACGCAAGACCAAATGGTTTCACCTTTTGCTCCCATTTTTCAAGACTTAAAGAATAAACCAGGCCTGTTGCTTTCTCCCCTGAAGAGCAAACCCTGCCTCTGGCTTTGTAAGCCCACCATTTATGGGGAGCATTTCTTTGCACCCAGAGACAGCTGCCATGGCGATGCCCTGGATGCTTGGCCAACGGTGGGACCTGCAGGAGAGAGGCCATCCCGGTCTCACTCCTGACTGTGTGCTCTGAGGGTAACCGAAATGTGGATAGCGACAGGCTGCGTGTGTGCATGGGTGTGCGCGCGTGCGTGCATGGGTGTGCGTGTGCGCGTGCATGGGTGTGTGCATGCATGGGTGTGCATGGGTGTGTGCGCATGTTTGCATGGGTGTGTGTGTGTGTGTGCAGTCCAGCTCTAAAAGGCTCACGGAAGTGGCTGTCCTCGCGAGGATGCGGTACCGCTGTTTAAATGTCTGCCAGGGGAGGGGATGCTCAAGACCCACCCTCCCTCATAAAGGCCGCTGCTCCCCCCGAGAAGCCACCTCGGGCCGATGTGTTGTTCAGATGGGAAGAGAAGCAGGAGGGGGTGTCTAGCCTGGAATAGATAGGCCCCTTAGATTTCACTCAGGTGTTGCCAGGGCTGCTCCAGGGAGGCGGCAAGGCACGGAGACAAAGGCCCCAGAAGTAGAAGGGACCTCCAGTCCCTCTGGCCCAGTGGAGCCCGGGGGACACCCCTGTTCACTCCCCAGTGGTCAGTCCCAACGCCTCTCTAGTCACCTCCACTGTTGAGAACCATCAGATCCTCCCTGTTCCAGCCCCTTCGCAGCTTGGGGTGAGCACGTGCCCAGGGATAGGCAGTGACATGTAAGAGGAAGTCACAGGAACTTCTGGGAAAGCTGATGCTCTTCTGATAAAAGAGACAGACATGGGTCCCAGCTTCTTCCTGCCTTGATGGGGGATGTGATGCCTGGAGCCGCAGCAGCCCTCTCGCTACAAAGAGAAAAAGGCCAAGAGAATCTCAAAGACTTTGACCTTATCGTCATTGGACCAAGCCAATGCCTGCAACCTTCCTCCTACAGAACTCTTGTAAAGAGAAATAAAGCCCTCTTTGGTTAAGCCATCGTGGCCAGTCTCTGTTATTTGTGGACAAAAATATTCCTGACACAGAAAGCCAGCCTGCTGCCCAGAACTACCTGCAGACTAGAATGCAGACCCAGCTCCCTCTTCCCACCAGAAACCTGTTGGGTCCAGACCCCCAGCAGCAGTACCGGGCCTGCCCTTCCACACTTCCTCCTCATGGCCTACAGGCTCCGAGCATCGACACCACGAATCCCCACACCATTCAGTCCTAGCAAGTATCTGCTGAGTGCCTGCCCTGTGCCGGGAAGCAGGCCGCGTGCTGGGGGTGCGGTGGGAAATGAAACATCTGGGACACTGGGGTGGCCCCCTCTGAACCGGTCTCCCTGTTTCTGTCCCTGCCCTACGCACAGTCTGTTCTCGACAGAGCGGCCAAATGACCCTGTTAAAAGTCTAAGGCAGATCTTACCCTTCCTCTGCAGAGCCCTCCACGGCTCCCAGTAGAGCCCTTCCCGTGACGGAGAAGGCCCCATGTCCACTCCCTCTTCACCTGTGGCCTGTTTCCCCCCTGCCCCCCCCTCACTCACGCAGCTCTCCAGCCTGGACTCCTCATACCCACCAAGCATGCCCCACCTCAGTGCCTTTCCACCTGCTAGTCCCTGGCCAGTAGTGCCCTTCCCCCGGGGAGCCACGCAGCCTGCTCTTGCTAAACAATGTCCTCCTCGGTCACTCCATCTAAAACCTCAACATCCACACATTCCCTTCCCCCTCCCCCCTGCCTTGTTTTCCCTCCTCACCATTTATCACCATCTAACGTTATGTGTCTCACTTGCTGATCGAGTGTCTCTCCTAACAATAATGTCAGCACCGTGAGGACAGAGACTAGTCTGTCTTGTTCACTGCTGATTCCCCAATGGCCTCCCCCCTACCCTCCCCCCCACCTTGGCCAGCAGGTGGCTCGGCTCAGGTAAACCTGGCAAAGTGGCTCCAGGGACCAGAATCACAGATCATTCCACTTCCGGCTTTGAGAAAAGGCCATGGGCCAAATAGGGCACAGGGCACCCAGCAGGTGCTCCATAAATGTTTGTTGAATCATTGCGAATCCCTTTCTTCCCTCCCGGAGCCTCTTCCCAGGGCCAGCCCTTCCCATCCCCATCCCCCACTGCCTCCTGCCTCCACAGTTTTGACCCTGCCCAGAGATGTCAGCTTGGTCCCGAAGCTTTCCTTTGTCAGGACACCGGGCCCTCTGGCATTTGTGCCCGCAGGACCCACATGGAGCTGGAGACCTTGGAGAAGGAGCCCCAGCGTCAGGCCTGCCCAAATGGAGGCCAAAGCAGCAAGCCCTGTGCTCACGGAGGCCACATTCCCTCCCGCCCACAGGACCACAAGCTGGGTTTGGGTTTGGGTTTGGGTTTGGGTTTGGGTTTGGGTTTGGAGGGCACCCTCTTCAAGGATGCACCAGCACCAAATACAGAGCCTGGAGGGAGGGGGGGCAAAGGGGCCTCCTCCCCCACCCCCTGTTCTGCAGTGTGTGCTCCTGGGGCCTCGCCAAACTCAATATTACATAATTCCTGGGCTATGAGGGCAGGGTCCCTGTCTGATGGTGCTCACTCTTACCAGTCCCAGCCCAGGGCTCTGTACACAGTAGGTGTTCAGAAAGGTTGCGAATGGGTGTCAGTAAAGATGACTGCATTTATGGAGGCCAGCAATGCCCCACCATGACAAGTCAGTGTCGTCATCACCCGTTGCCGATGAAGAAACCAAGGCTCAGGACAATTTAAATGAAGGGACCTGCGAGCAGTCACAGAGCAACGCCTGGGGAGGGGAGGCTCACGCCGAGCCAGCTGTCGGCACAGCCTGCCTTTCCCTGTGGACGCGGGCCTGGCTCTTAGACGCTCACCGGAGGCCCCTGTGCCATCCTGACCTTTGGCCACGAGATCCGAGAACCTGTTTCACCTTCCGAGTGTGATTTGTCCATCTCAGCTTAAGGGATTCACCTCCACCTATAAAAACAGACTGAGGCCAACTAGACCGACATGAATCCTGGGGTGAGGACCGTCTGCACACTGCCATGGCCCCACCCCTAATGGCACCCCCAACCCTCGAGGCCGGCAGTCTCTGAGTACAGCCAACAGGCCCGAATCTACCATCATGTGCCACTCTTGCCCCCTGCAGGACTGGACCTACGGCGAGCAGTGCCTAAAGGATTTGATGTGTCTGCCCCCCAAAGACCCACCAACGCCCCACCCCTTGCTCCCCAGGGCCTTGCCTTAAGGCGCCCCTTTCCTGGCTTCACGAGAACAGATCCTCATGCTTCCGGGATGAACTGCCCACATCTCAGCCTGTGGCAGCTATCTGAGTTGAGGGTCGCTGGCGCTCACCCAGAGAGGACGCGGGGCTGGCTTGTTTTCCAAAGCCGGCCCTCTCAGTCCGTGTGCCCATCTGCTCCCCAGAAAGAACTGCCCAGTCAGGGGCCCTGGCAACCCTCCTGGGCAACAGCCAACCCAGTGGGGCTCCCCACCCCTCTCCAAGGAAAGGCTTCCCATGGGACCGGGCACCTAACTCTCCCTTTTGGGTGCCTGACCTCACTTGGCTTGCCCTGGGGGAGGGCTAGTTCTGTGCCCAGGCCTGGAGTCCACCCCCAGCTCAGCCAGTCAGTATGTGTCACAAGCCGGCCAACTTGCTGGGCCCCATTTTCCGGACCTACTAGTGTGATGCAGGCAACGATATCTGTGTCTACTGAACCCTGAGTGTCTTGCCCGGGGGCTGGGCTGAATATATGAACTCTCTCATTTTCGCCCCCAGGACTGTCCTTGCCTCTATTTTACAGGTGAAAGATCCAGCGTTTAGAGAGGACAGCCCCTGCCCAAAGCACACAGTCAGCAGGTGTTGGAAGCCAGAGGGGAGCCCATGTCCGTCAGTCCGTCCGCCTGTCCACCTGCCCGCCCGCCCGCACATTTATCCTGGCAGCTTTGCCGGTGGGGGCTGTGGGAGGATGTTTTGCAAAGTGCCCACACTTCAGCTTTCCCATCTGCCCGTGTGCTCAGGCCCAGCAGCCTTCCCCCTCGTCCCTCCTTCCTCCTTCCCAGCCAGCAGGTGGCCTGGCCCACACCGACCTTGCAGAGTGAACCCCAGGGGCGAGGCTCCCAGCTCCATTCCCTCGCAGCTTTGACAAAAGACAGGGGCCAAATGGGGTGCAGGGGTCCACGTGCCTGCCCTTGGCCCAAGAAGTCCGGGAAGGAGCAAGATGGAGAGACACGTGCATCGAGCCCCCTCCGTGTGTCTGGCAGGTCCTGGAACGTGAGTGAATTGAGTGCCTAGCCCAGGGCCTGGCACATTTCAAGGGGTGGCAGTTCCTCCCCCCTCTTTCTGTCTCCCCTTTAAGGACATCTCCACAGGTGGCACAGGATGTCAGATTGGGGCGAGGCGGGGGGTGGGGGGTTGCGGCTCTGCCACTCGCCAGATGGGTGACCTTGGACAAGCTCCCTAACATCTCTGAGCTTCTTGTGCTGCATGAGGGTCCGATCGCACCAGCACCACTGGCTGTCGGGAGGACTCAGTCAACCAACACAATATTTGGCAAGAGCCAGGCGCACGGCCAGCGCTCAATACAAGTTAATCATCTTCCCGGTCCTCCGTTGTTTCACTCTGTCACATCGGCCAGGACCTGACCCCTCCACGCCCTGTTTCCACTTGGTTATCCCTCTTAGCCCCTAAGCTCACTGGTCATCCATCCCTTTCTCATGGCTGGTCGCCCCCGGCCCTCTGCCCTTCTCTCGGTCCCATACTTTCTCACACCCCACCCCTTCTCCATCCCCATACTATCTACTCCTTCTCCTGCCGTTTCAAAATGACTCCTGAGAATTCCTTGTCTGCTTTCATCCACCGAGGCCTCTCCAAGCCCAAGGAGGCCGAGAGCGCCTGTGTGGCCAGCATCCCCGTGGCTTCCTGGGCCCAACCCTCCTCTGCTCCCTTGGCGGCTTCCTGGCCCTTCCCCTTCGGCTGGGCCCTGTGACTAGTTCTG